ACGTTTTAATCGTTCGGGCGCAAATAAGTAATAAATCTGAATGGAAAATCGGGACGCAATACGAACGTGGAGAAAACGAATGGGCGAAAGTTTCTTCTTGTCGTCGTTTTGCACGAAACTTCACGGGAAACGAAACGCAGGGAGACAGTTTTCCAAGAATTCGCGTGTACGAATCGTGTGGTAAGACGATGGATTCCGTTCGATTCGCAAGAATTCGGCTGGCTCGGCTGCTTTCTCGCCGCGTCTTATCGAGTCTTTCCGAGATTCGAAGAAGAGGCTTCCACTTCCCTATTCACCGTCCCCTTTCCTTCTTTCCGTTTTTTCGCAACCCCTCCTCCCTTCTTGTTTACCTCTATTCTTCTCGGTTGATCCGATCGTGTGGGGCAGCGACAAAAGTCGACGGAATTAAATATTGATTTCGTCGTCGTTTCGCTCCGAGTCTTGGCCCGAAAATTTACGTCGACTTTAAAAAAAGGGGGGGAAAAGGAGACGCTATTCTTCCTTTCTTTCTCTTCGACGTACCGATGAAAAAAACACTCTAATTTGCCAACTTACCCCTTACTCCTCGTGTACATCGATGAATCGAAACTCATTCCGCTCGTCTTTTGTCCGTCTCTCGTTCGATTTCCATTTTTGTGGAAAACCGTGTGAGGGACACGAGTGTAAAAAAAAGAAGAAAAAGAGAATATGGAGGAAAGTCGGTTTCAAAGTCGTCTTCGTTTAAGTTCATCAATTCTCGTTAAGTTGCCACGCCAGACATCGATCACTGCCTATAACGCGAATCGTCTGCCACGAGTTCGCGTTGACCGTAAGTAGCTCCTCCGATGAGTCTATTAGCGGAGGGAAAACGCACGAGTTGACGAGTTGACAAATTCGGGAAAACGTCCGTTGGAGAGGAAAGTTTGCTTCGTTTCGTGGTACGGGCGAAAATGTGTCCTCGATGTGTGAAGTTGATTCGCAAGAGCGGAATTTCTCCTACGTCCAACGCAGAAATTCCTTCGAACCAACCGAGAACACCGAGGCGAGCACCGGTCGGTGTTCCGCGATTAAACCACGCTCCTGACCCAGTTGCCAAGTTGTCGGCTGCGTAATTGCGACGTGGCCGCGCAAGTGTCGCATGGGCGGTCGAGTAATTGAAAAAAAAAGGAAGAGAGAGAAGAAAAACTCGTGCTCGTTGACGAGGCGAGACGAGGCGTGGGCGGGCGAGGTCGGAGATCGCCTCTCAAAATTCATCGCACGAGGAGTTTCGTTCGTCCTCGGGGAATTTCGCGAAAATTCCCGGCATAGCCATCGGTCAGCTGAAGCCCCCTCTAATGAAACCGCCGTCGAGTTAATTAACCTATCGTATCGATTAATCGTCTTTCGAGAAGAGAGGGTACGCCGTTCTCGACGCGATCGCCGCCTCGAAACGCGTGGGTTGCGCGAGAGGAGGGGTCTTCTTATTCTCTTATTAAGCAACGATGGAAGAAACGTCGTATTAAAAAAGAAAAAAGATGGTCGTCTGGTGGAACACGAATCTCGACGACGAGCGTTCGAAAGAGGAAGAGAGAGAGAAGAGGATCGAAGAGGAAGAAATTGATGGGAGACAATGGCCGGGAACGCGAGTGATTCGCTCCGTGCGATCCGTTCCTCTGTCTTTGTCCGTAGTTTCCGCGTTTCGTGCTTGGATGAGCAAGATCTCGAAACGATTTATCCGCAGATCCGTCCCTCGGTATTCGTTTATTTTCCTCTCTTGTTTATTCCGTCCGCTATTTTCTTTTTTCTCCCCCTCCCTCCCCTATTTTATTTACATTTTCGCCCGTTTACCTTTCTATTTATTTACATTTTTCCTTTGTTTATTTACATTTTTCCCGCGTCGTGCTCGAACTACGTGGCTGCTATTTTTACGCCAGGATTAAGGCACGAAAAAACCGGTGCAGAGATCGATCGACGGAGATCGATGTCGTCCTCCGGAACGAATTCGTCGCGCGAATCACTGTTTCGCTCCATCGATCCAAAAGATCGAACGTCTATCGCGTCAACGTACATTTATACATCCAATCAGAAATTATCCCGAACGATTTGAATTTGTCGGCCGATTATCGAGCTGAATCTATGCAGGCACGCGTAGAAGGAACGCGTGAGGAGGAAAAGCGGGCGATGGAACTGAACTTGTTTACGAGCGGGACTTAATTTTCCTGGCGCGTAACAGCCGCTTCCGGTCCAGTTGGTTGCGCGTGACTTGCCGTGCAAGAGCCGGCAAGACTCTTGGTGGGGGCGTTGGAAATATTGTCGACGGTCAGTTTGAACGCGCGCGCCGTTCGAATCCAGCGCGAATAAAGAGCAGACGCTCGGTTAATTTGGAAATAAGGGAGAATTTACGACGTCTACGGATCTCGTTAAACCTTTCCGCGATTAAGAGATTCGCGCATATTTCGCTCGAGGGAAATTGGATCGCTTATCCTGTTTATTAAGCCGGCCGACGACGCGTCTTATTCTTAGATCCACGAACGAACGCGCGTTTGGAAATCTAAACGGCTCGTGTTTCCCGATCGTACGTACGAATGGAATAATGGGGCGATAATGAAGAGGGGGAGGGGAGGGAAGACTCGCAGCGGTAATCGCACGCAGTGGAAGTGGCCGTTTCGAAGCGATCGTGTAATAAAACGAAGGGATATCGGCTTTTCCTTCTCTCCGGGGAGGATTGAAAAAAACCTCTCTTCTAGTTCTTCTTTCCAAGAGAAAAAGAAGATACGAAGAGAAGTTTATCGGAGAATCGTCGTTGAATCGACGCTTCCTGGAACCGAATTCCATTCTGGCGGGTCTTAAAACTGGCCGTTAATTAATCGACGGCCATCTCTGTATTTCCCGAACTCGGCTACAAACATCCCCCTCGAGTTACCTCGAGTGAAATTGCGCGATTAAAACCTGCCCTCCCTCTTCCCCCGTCTCTTATCTCGCCAAATAAAATAAAAACTTGCCCCAAAAACCATCAAACCCGCACTTCGAACCACTTAAAATCAATTTACTCTCTCTCTCTCTCTTTCTCTCCCTTTTGCGAAACTCTCCGCGCGTGAAAGTTGGAGAGGAGGGGAGAAAAAAAAGGAAAAAGAAAAAACGCAAAAAATCGGTCGGAAATAGCGAGGTTTTCGAAATCGCGGGCAATTACAGCAGCGCGTAAAGCTGGTTACAC